ATAGAATGGAATTCAAAATGTCCCCTAACTACTTTATTTAACACCAGTTTTTTACAATTCCTTATTGTGTCCACTATAGATTAATTCGGTATATTTGAATAAGCGAAGTTCATCAATCACAAAGATAAGTACACTTCAATAGAAATGACGGCGACCAGTAATTTATAAATTTTATGAAGACCCGATTTACATAAGCCTACATCTAATTCATAGATCCCACAAATCTAATTCCTATTCGTTTACATTATGTTCCGAAACTTACGTACATGTTTTCGTTTCTGAAATTGTTTGAGATGATTTGGTAGTTTCGTAGTTTTAGTTTATTTTATCACTTTAGGTTAGTTTTAAAAATCTTTCTTTGAAAAAACGAGCTAATTAAAGACGATTTTTAAGTGATAACGTATTATCAATAAATAAAATACATTATTTTTATTACTATTATTATAATTTCATGACGATAGTACTGTGAATGTTCGCCATGAAAATAATAATGATTATTTGAAGCCAGCATAAGCAATACGAAAGTTTAGGATATAAATACTATCAATTTGACATTCACAAAATTATTTCAAGAGTATTCGACGATTCTAGTTGTTCTTCGTCTGTAATGATCTAGGAGGAAACTGCTAGTAGTACTGGGGTGCCCCTGGCCGAAGATAAGAATAGCATTCCAAATGCAACTCAAACTGCGCCTTATAAAGTTGTTGTTGTGACTTAAACTTCTGTCTCGATTTATTTAGCGCACCAAGCTCCTTCGAACCTAATTTGGCCTTGCTTGGAAGAACTTACCGCAAAACTGGATTTCGCTCGATATGTTTACGCCAAGAATTTCAATGTTGGAAATGTTTATCATCGTGTCTGATTTTATTTACATTACAATTGCCTATTGTATTCTATCTTTTCGATTCTCATTTTCATAAAGTAATGAAATAATCATTTGACTTTAAACTCACCTTATCAAAAATCTCTTTTTTTTAATTTTTTATAAAAAAGACTAGCAAATGTATGTATGGAGTTGCCATTGCCGACTGGCAATGGCAACTCCATACATACACACTCCACACTTACTCACAGTCTGATCCCAAACTAGGCAAAGCCTGTACTATGGTAACCAGACGGCTGATAAATACTACTATAGATAAATTACACCCAGACAGAACAAATGATCATGCTCATCACACAATATTTGTACTGGGTGGGAATCGAACCCACGACCTGCGGCTTAGCTAGCCACTAGCCACTAGACCAACTGGCCGGATATCTCTAATTTTTATATGTACAAGAATTTATTGTTATAATGCAGAACTACTTTGAACAGTTTAAAAGTAGAAAACAAAGCATAACAGGACTGAATTAATTATAGCCTGAGAGTGACTGCCTATAAATAACATGTCCTGGCTACGACACAGGTGTTTTATTGGTCCAATGTCATTTCTTTGGTCATATTTTTGGAATTAATAGCTAAAATCGGGCGAATTATTTATTACAATCATAAAAATGTTTAGTTGTGTGTGTGTGTGTGTGTGTTTGGTATTAATATTTGTTTTATCCACGTATTTATTTATTTTACCGTTAAATAATATTTATCATCAAAACTTCTGGTAGAAAGTATCCAAAAATTAGTCATTATTTGTACAAAATTTAAGTGAGATTCTTAGTATTTGTTTTTTTTTTAATTCAATCCGCTATTCAAATTTATTTAAAACTTACTAACATAGTGTCTGTTAGTCTGTTTACCTAAGCCCTCTAAATATTTACAATTGTTAAATATAAAATTAACAATGTGCTCGAATCACTTGTAGTATTTCCTCGTTGTAAATACGACCACAATCAAGCCATAATTGAACAGGGACTTGCGAAAACAAACACAAAATTACACACGCACCTCTCCGACTAATCCAATCACAGTTTCACTGAGCGTGCCCCAAGACGTTGTATGAATTAAATATGTTTTCTTACTAACCCTCGTGTACATCTATGACACCAATTAATTTTCATTCAATCCTGATGAGACACAATATATATTCAGAAGACTAATAGTTTATAGGAATAAATTCAAAACAGTAGAGCCCAAACCTTACAAAGATGTCAAAGACTGCAAATATTACTTTACTTAAACCGTGGTGAAAATTAATTAATTGTCACTTTGGAGATTATAATTAAATAAATACGCATAATGTATTCTAATTCCTGCTTTATGTACCTGTTAATATTGTCACAAATAAGCTCACCTTCGTCTGTGGAAGTTTTAAGCTGTAGAACACACGTTGCCGTCCAACTTATATTGTCATTCACTCGCTCATATAATTAATTTGAGAAAATTAAAGGGTAAAGTGTATGTTGTAACTTGATCAGATGTGAAGGTAAAGTTTACAAAATATATGTTTACTATCAACTTCCTCTAGGACAAGGACCCTCAGATCAATTTTTTAAAGATGTACTATTGAATTGACGAAAAAACCATCAATGTCGACTTTACGTGTATACGTATTGAGGGTATTTAAAAAAGAAACAGATTTTATTTAACTTAGTCGGAGTGAGGAACGGAGATTAACAGACAGACTGACTGAATATATGAAACCATATTTTCTTGTTAAGGCTATAAAACCTAACACGGCAAGTTACAAATTGCGCCATAATATTTTCAGCTTAAATGTAACGGAAATTCATTTCAAAAATAATAACTGCTTGCTTATTATTCACGAACATTACCGACACATTGTACATACATAGGTTTCATATCTGACGATTTATGGGCGATATAAAAGTGGTGTTATGGGTCTGCATCTCGGTTACCGGCTCCCCTCGTTCGTTCGCATGGTTCAGTTCATAGGGCGCATGTAATAAATAGCAATGCCAACTGTCATTTGCTGTTTATTTTCCAAGTATTATTGGTATTTTGTGCCAGGATGGTGCACAATTCCTTCTTAGGTCAGATTATTCTATCAATGGAGTGTATTTTGTCTCGCTCTTCAAGAGGTCTTAAAGAAGGATTTCATCACTATCTTTTTTAAGATTTGTACACATTTTTTGTATAATTGGTAATATAAAATAACATAAGGGGTCACTACGTAAGTAAATATATCTAATTCATAGATTTTGGGTATCTTAATAATTTCTAAAACAAATATGTTTACCCTAACTCATAGTTCCTAGAACTCATTGAACACGTTTGATAGCATCGTTAATTAATTAATTATAATCACCTATATTTATAAAAAAAAATATGTAGGTTTGTGTCAAACAATTAAAAAGTTCTGCATCGATTCAACTCATATTTTGACACTATATGCAACCCCCTTCAAAGATTGAATTTAACTATGTTTCGTGTTAGTTTTGTTCCTTATTTTTTATCAATGCAAACAAAATGTGCCACGGCAACGTGTGATATGGTACAGCTAGTTGCTAATTATAATAATACCTCACACATCTCACACATAGCCGTCTGATCATAAACTAGGCAGAGCCTGTGCTATTCTAACCAGACTGCTGATAAACATACCTATATATTTTTAAATACATACATATTATAGATACATTACACCCAGACACAGAACAAATGACCGTGATAATCACACAATATTTTTCCTAGGTGGGAATCGAGCCCACGACCTCGGGCTTCGCAGTCAGGGTCTCTAACCACTAGACCTACAGACCAACAAATATCGCCTTGATAACTTATAAAAACTTCTAAACTTATAACGTGTGGACAATAGAAAGAGAGAGAGTATTTTTTTCACGTGTGTAAATATATTTTTCTGTTCCCTCACAATTTCTAAACTTCTTGTAAATATAAAACAAGAGCCAAAATTCTAACATCTTGTTCCGACATTTCTAATTTGGCCATCATTGTGCACAAATGTCAAGAGTATAGAATAGAGTAAAGACAGCGGGTCCTTAGACTTTAACATCACGTCCATACCAGCTTAGTTCTTTAGGTCATTCGTCTGGAGCTTCTAGCATTTTATTCCGTACCCAAAGGCAGAGAATCGGATGCTACGTTGCGCATTGAGAGAGGCCCACGTCTAGTACTTTACAGCTATATGCTGATTTATTAATTGATTTACCTTTTCACTTTATAATTTGTTCATTAATGATGACGGTGACTTCATACAAACTTCCTCCACTTATAATAAGAAATCGCTGTAGTTTCACTTACCCTTTTTTTTCCGTGCGGAAATCCCCTCGGATACCACCTGTCGGTGGCATGTCGGACTCGAACCGACTAAAACCGCACGCTGTCTCGGGTACTAATAGCCGGGGAACCAGGTATACCCTAGAAAGGAGTTTCACTTACCCTGCGTGATCGCTTAAGCTTAGAGCGGGTTTTTGAACTTACTTTGTTTTCATATTTTATTTCGGACATCTGACACAAAACGCCATAATAAATATTCGCAGATCATACAAACATTAGGTCAGACCCAGTAGTCGAACCCGAGACCTCAGCACAGCAGTCGCATACGCTACCACTGCACCACCGAGGCAGTCTTTCAACTTAAAATAGTCTCAAAAGCATAAAATTGTTGTCTTGTTACATAATTTGGGTAAGTTGAAAAAAAAATCAGTGTTGTTAAAGTACAGGTTTTAATACAAGCTGTCGTTTACAACTCTTAACAACATGGAGTTTCCATGAAACTTAAATGTTTTTGTTTATTAATATCTTAATACACTTATTTACACGTACTTTAAAAAACGCTTACATATTGATTACAATTTCTTTCGGTTATAAGTGACACACACTTCTTTGAAGTTGGCATCGAATGGTTTAACCGTTAAACTAGTGTGGGTTGTTTTTTTAATTAACAATTTTAAATAATATGTAGTGGCCTTAATTTTTACAGCTTAAAATGGTTGTTATAAAATTTTATAGAAGCCGTATCCTTAATAGTACATTAAATAAACTAAACGAAATACACATACAAAACTTGAGAAAATGATTTGATGTTTTCATAGCGGAGAAGTCAGTCTTTACCTCGCTAAATTAAGAACAGAGAGTGAAACTAAACTTGACTGTGTGTTACTGTGTTCAAATCGTTCATATTAGGCTCTTCAGGCAGTTTTGAAAATGAGATATTTGATGGTAGTTTTATCTTAGCACTGAGAGCTTGTTTTGTTCGTACTAAGTCATGATTCGCAATTAATTTTCGTTTGGCTTGACCATTAGATAAAATTCCGAAGAACTTTTCCCAAAAGTTTGATTCCTTCCATACCATAGTGGTCGTAACATCACGTTGTTCTTCCAGAAATGCGTATATTGAATTTTCTGGACCAATATCAACGAAAATATAAATTGTGTTTTGCGCTTTTAACATTTCACTGTGAATTTTCTTTATGTCCACGTGACAGTAAGTAGACGTTAAGTAGTTCGACGAGAATACGACTAGCGTGGTGTATTTGTTTTCATTTTTAACGCAGCTAGTAAAGTGCCTTATAAGACGGTTCTTGCTGCTGAAATTTCTGATTGGATTAGTATGAACTTTCAGTGACTTGTTACATTTCATTACAGGCAATACCTCTTTCAATACAAATTCTTCGTCTTTATCACAGTAACTTATTGCTATGTTATGCATTCCCGTTTTTCCAAGTGGTCTTGCATAGGTAGATAATCGTTTTTTTAACATGTGATTTATGTGTTTTCTGTAGATTATGAAAACTATTATAATAATTATATACAAGGCAGTTACGACTGTCAAAATAGAAATGAAAATGGTAAATCTCAGGTAACATGCCTCTTTTGCCCACAGTGGGCAGTTAATATGTTGTAGATCGACAATCTGAAACATTAGCTGAGATTAATATATAATCCAAAACATTTTACTTGCTACACTTTATATATAAATAGCAAACGAAAATTTACCTTTGTTTTTATATTATTCTGTATATAATCTAGAAACAAATAGTTTCGACATTCACAATTGAGTGGGTTTTCAGAAATCCAAACGTGTCTCATCATTTTCTTCAAACTGCTTTGGTAACTTTTTAAAGTTTTTTCATCTACCTACAAAATGATAAAATTTATTAGCACAATATTCTCATATTTATTGTCAAAAGTTTTACTTTTAAACAATATAAATACTCACCCAAAGATTTTGTATATAGTTATGGCTGATATCTAAACTTTCATGACCATTCATCCACCAATCTTCAAAAGCCACTTTAAACTCATTATGACTCAAATTCAATAGCTTTAAATTGTAAGTATGAGCAAAAGGCGAAGACCTTTTCACCATCCAAGAGTTATTTGTTAACTCCTTGTCTTCAAAATCTAGTTTATTATACGCTAGAGATATTGACATTCTCTGTTTATTGTTGCTGAATAAATACGATGAAATCGTTTTCAAATTATTGTGCGCCATATTTAAGTACATTAGGCTAAGCAAAGACGAAAAGGTATGCCTGAAATAAAAAAAAATACATCACGAACAAATCATAAATGGATAAATTGAAATGGTACTATGTAACACAAAATAATTACCCTGATATATCTGTCAATGAATTTGAACATAAATTGAGATTTTCTAATCTCACTAAAGATGAAAATAGCTTTGGCTGTAGCTCCTTCAATTTATTTGAGCTTAAATCTAACTCCAGCAAATTTATTTGATCATTAAAAATGGATTCTGGCAGCGTTGCAATATCATTAAATGCTAGTGATATGTTAGTAATTAATGGAGAATTTGCAAAAACGTCGTAGGGTAACGTCTCAATACCACTTCTCTGAACATATATTACTTTCAAATTTTGCAAATCACCGAAAAGGTTCCTGGGTAGGTCTTTCAGTTTAACATCATTGTTTAATATCACAACTGTTTCCAGTTTTTCATTATTTTTAAATAAATTCTGTGGTAGCGATGAAAACTTGTTAGAAAACAAAGTCAACTTCTTTAACTTCTTTAAAGGCTTGAATATTGATGCAGGTAGTTCGTTAAGTTCATTAGAGCTGAGATCTAGTTCTTCAAGCACGTCGACACCAGTGAAGAGATCTTTTGAAAACCAGGTGACGTTACTTTGCCATAATGAGAGTTTTCGTAAGAAAGACAAATGTGAAAATAAATTCGAAGTTATATTGGTCATGTGATTGTGACTAATTTCTAAAGTTTCTAGTTTCTCTAATGGTTTAAACAACTCTTCAGAAAGATTAATGGTATTTGACCGTATGTTTAGCCATGTTAATTTATTAATATCCATAAATAAATTGTTCGGTAAATGAGTAACTCCATTTATAGATAGCAGTAGTTTTGTTAAATCTTGCAAACCTGCAAAATGTTTTCTGTCAAAATATCCTGACAGTTTCTTAGCATTTTGAAATATTAATGCCATTGTTTTTGATACACCTAGATTCATCAAAACATCGTTGAATGAAGATGATGGTAGTGGACAATCCTTAAAACTGACCGATTTAAATGAACTCATGCTGTTGGCACATTTTGGTAGTTTGTTATAGTCGAGACTACTTGTGTTTTCACATTTTATATTAATGTAGACGTTTGGTAGTAAATTTATTTTCACAGTTCGCCCTGAAAAATACACACAAGATTAAAGAAATGCTAACATTTTCAAGAAGCTAGATGTTCCTATCGGCTTAATTGCTAAATCGGAAAAATAGTAGTAGAATTTAAGGTGAAGATTTTATTATTGCAACACACTTTGTTACATTTCCCTGGCTGCTTGCATCAAAATTTAAGTACACTCACCATCAATGTTGCAATTGAGTTCGATGGCTAGCGTGCCACCGCAAACGCAGTTAGGGTCACTCGGACACATCAGCCGCGCTGCACTAATTATTTGTAGTGTCAGCGCGGCAGCTACTGCATATATTACTTTGCGATACATAGCTAAGCTGTTGTCATGAGCACTGTTTAGTTTATCCATTGCTGACCTACATACATTTCTGATTTCATCGTTTTATTCTGACTCGTCCAGGCCATGGTTTTATTTGCTTTGAATCTGCGAACAAATAGAAATAAATTGATATTTATAAGATAAAAACGAACATACATCTATGTACAAGTTCATTTGGGTTCGATTGAAATTTACAAAGATAGCCAACAAGAAGCATTGGGAGATAATTGCCCTACAGCAAATGTAATGGAACTGTCTGAGTAATAGTCAGTCATCCTGGCATTTAATTATGTTTGACTACTAACAACGCCAATCATTCAATTACAATCTGTACACCTCACTATAGTACTTCACTAGTTAATGTCAAAAAGTATGACATAGGTTATGTTGAAATATTGAACCTTTGGCAAGTTCCAATTAAAATCGTATTTAATTCCATATTTAACAATAAAATAAATGGGTAAAAGGTAATCAAAATAATTATGACAATTTTAATTGATATCATCCCGATTAAAATGATTATGTATATGACCTTAGGTTATAGTACTACTCCAGACTATTTAATAATACCATTTCCATTTCGTTCGATGAGAATAGAGCAACCAAGAACGGCTTGTACACCGGGCCGACACCACGCCATGTCCCCTGACTTTACCCGACACGCCACTAGACCGTTATCACAATTTCCGCAATGGGATTAGGTTCATTTTAACGAACCGCTTAAGGGTGGACATGTTTTTTCAACGGATAACATGCTGACAATATTTTGTAGGATCAATATTTGGGTTTCAAAAAGTATGATTTAAATTGCTGAGGGACTTGTACTGTCTTTTGGCCTTGGATGAAAGTCTAGGCAATAAATTATTGCATGTGAATTACTATTATATGAACTTAGTAACTATTAAGTAAGTAAGTTATTTGTGTTTAAATTTATAAATTTTGTAAGAGGATGTAATTAAAACTCATTATTAAAACTCACTAATAATATTAAGCATAAGGTTTTGGAGTAAGGAACGATTTCAATTTAACTTAATTTTACCTTATGGAGCAATGGACTTGGCAATTTTTTTTGCATTATTTATTTGAGTACTTAAACGTTTTCCACAGTTTTATTATTTACTTCATACTATAACTTTGGTAAGTCATAGCGTATGTGTAATCTTAAATAAATCAGTTTTCTGACGAATTTTTTTCTATCAAAATGCTCTAGTTGAAAATGATATTCATAGATTCAAACTTTAGACTATTACAAGACTAATATACACATGAATGTGGTAGCATATTATCATTATTATGCTATGATTAGTTGTGATTACAGGCTTTTTTGAATAATATTCTGCCGCCTCAAGCAGTAACACATCTGTTACTATTGTTAATAGTATATTTATCTCACCTTAGTGATATAAACAGAATAATGTCTAGTAATAATTCTAATCATAGTCTCCAACGTTTGCCATCTAGCTACTTTACAGTAAGAGCGACTTTAAAGCAACTCGCCTTGAGCTATTTATGTTATGTAATAATTTCAATTGTCAAGTATGAAACTATCGGGTAAGTTGAACTAGACAGTCCGGTCCCCAATCCCCTACTTGAGAATTTATCGAGTGGGGAAATATCTTGCGTTCCAAGATCTGTACTCCGAAGACAATCGAAATTGGATGGAGGATATATTGTGGCTTACGTCGGTATTTCGCTGTATAAGTAGACTGAAAACCAATATAATGGTATGAAATATAAATGCAGCATTTGTGTGATTCAATATTGACGCCACAGCAATACTTTTATGTAGACGTTAAGTGTTATTTCAAAAAAAACGTAGTAAACAAATGGGTAACGGTTTTTTCTTTGTTTATAATTTTAAATCTTCAGTTTAAAATCTTCAAATATTATTATTACTTATGAGAAATTAGAAGTTTCAAGTTTGGACAGATAAAAAAATAGGTATAAGTTTTAGTAGTATTGATATACTTATGATCTCAAACAAGACAAGTGACTACCTTCTTTTCTATTGAGTACAGATTATTGATTGAATCGGATTCATGTCAAGGCCCTGTTGCCTGTCTATTTAATTTGAACTGCGTTTATTACTGTATTATATTTTATTTTAATACTTTATGCACAAGTATGAGTCGTACTACGGTGGACGTAATGCCACAGGAATTTTCTCCCAATTTACCTTAGGGTGGTGCTGAAATGTGTAGATGCACTAGACATTGACATTTAGAGAAATTTATTGAGAAGTTAGACAGAAACAATTAGATTAATATATATACATACATAAACCTACATATTAATAATATATAACTTATAACTTAAAGGTTGTAACGAATCTGCTAGGGTGTAAAGAATGCGAGCGCGAACTACAGATGTTCTTTTGTGATTTTTAAAATTATACAATACTTAAATACTATTATTATTTAATACAGTAAAAAATGTATTAGTTTTATATCTCATACAAATTTCATCTATAATTTCTCTAAACTTACACAAGACATTTTCTAACATAAACTTTTGTATTTTCCTTTTCATTTCAATCATACAACTATATTTGTATTAAGTTGCGTTAATATATGATTTAACTGAATACCAGATCACGAGTATTAACTGAGTAACTAACTACTTAAAAAGTAAAAGTAACTACATTATAATGAAACAAAAATAGTACGAAATAAATTTAATATATTAAAAAGAAGTGAACTTGACATTAGGATTGTATTATAACTTAAAATACTACAGTGGCTACAGAAAACTTACTTATAATTTAAACATCTACAATCGTCTACCATAGATAAGTGAAAGCCTAGTAATTCAGAAAATAAAAATTTTCAACAGTTTCTTTTACTTTTCGGTGATTGAATCTGGAACTTACTATATGAATCTGGAAGGAACTCTGAGAGTTTCTTATAATACATGACCAAGACTCACATCCTCACACATTTCTCATTTGGTATGTTTCGTAATATAATGGATCTTATTCTCGTTTGATAATCATTTTATTCGAAGCCGTTTTTAAATATAATAAAAAACAAATACAAAAAGTCACAACCACCTAGCAAAAGAGTAACAGACCTTAGTTTTTTATGCTACAGATGAAAATATTTCTAACATTTCTAAGTCCATCAGCTCTTCTGGCTTGCGGTAAAAATATGGGAAGGAACAAAATTAAAGCTCCGTGTGACGGACGATAGATTATGATACAAAATAGTAGTATAGTAGTATATATATATATATACCGTTTACGTTTACCTGTAATTTAGAATACCATTTCTGTGTTTCCTATTATTATGAATACTACATTGACTTATGTATGTGTATTCTGCTGTAATGTGTCTGTGCATACATAAAGGTCAAATATAGTTGAACTGACATTATTATTTTACTCTTATTACTGATATAATTATTATTTAAGGTACTAGTGATAATCAGCTCGCGAACCCAGACATAATGTCAACTAAAATCATAGCGGTTAATAATTTATATCTCTTAAGTACAAATAATATCTATCATTACATGCTTTTAATATTGAATTTATATCTTCTTCAAATTTGCTGTAAAAATGAAAAGGTCTAAAACTAAATTTGAAGTTTGATAAGTAGATATTCACCAATTTTCAGGTTAGTTTTTGCCTAATATTAGTTCACTGCTAATCAGCCATGGGATGCAGTAAACCCAATGAGGCGTTAGAAGCCACTGCTGTCAAATAATATAACAAACCATTTAATCGTCGCAATTTCAGTTCCTTGTAACTCATCTTTCATATATTTGCAAAAAAAAATGTTTGCTATTGCCCAATATTTGAGCCTCGTAAATGTATTTACATTTTATGAATCAGAATTATACAAAGAATTTCTGCGGACTGTTGGACTGTTGGACGCTAATTTCATCAGAATCTGTCATGATGCAATATAACACTCTCTTAACTTATTCCCTTGGTTTTTTAGTCGAGAGTAATACATAAGACAGAGGACAAGCGCGAGCCTGTGTTACGCAGGGAGGGTTCAGTACAAACTTGTTTTTAACTTTTTGGTAATGAGTGCAATAGTTGAGCCTTTAGTTTGTTTCTTTAAGAGAAATTTAACTTTGACATTCCAAAAACACTTTCCTACGTTTCGATATCTGACTTACCGAGACGCGTCTCGGTGCCATTTGTAATCGTATTTTTTTGTTATATACGAGTAAGTCATCTTACAATTTATGTTGTGAAACCTTACTTATTACGAAATTATATGATTCTAGGTCAATGTAAAATACCCTGCGCAGAAACAGCTATTCTCAATAAATGTTTGCGTTTAATGCGCTTTTGACTATATAAGACACAACTTGTATGAGGCGGACTTACTGCCACATGACATTATCTACCAGCCAACCTTAAGATGGTTCAGTAAGGGACATGGCAGATGCTCATTTATTTTGTAAACAGAAGAGAATCTATGAAAACATTACATTAATTTGATAATACTATTTAAAATACATAGACGAATACATAAATAAATATTAATATATTAAATATACAAAATAAGAAACAATAAAAAATCTAAGGTGACGAAATTATGAGGATATTGTAGAATAGATTGGACAGCAATAGAAGAGTGAACAAGAGAAGAAGTGTGTATTGGACACAGGAGTAAAAGATTATTTATGGACCGAAGATCTCTGTCATGGTTGAAGCAAAACGGTTTAAGCTGTGGAGTGGGATAAGTGGAAGCTGTAGGACTATTAACAATAAAATACGTAAATAATAACGAGAAAAGAAAAATACAATTGCAAATATCACTAAAAATTTCAAAGCACTTAAACTAAAAACAGGCCATTCAGCTTTGAATTAAATATTAGGTTTTTAGTTAATTTGTGAGCAGAAGCGAACTCAAAAAGCGACTCAACGGCTAATATAAAAAATACTGACATACGAAGGCAGAGACAGAATCCACTTTTCTCGTAATGATTGTAACAACGAGATTTCATTTGAAGTCTCTTTGTTGAGGATAATAGAC